CACCTTTAATTCACTCTGTACTTGTCCTTCACAACACTTATAAGCTGAATTACATATAATCAATTACTCAGTGCTTGTCTGCCCTACTGTTGGGTAAGCTCCAGGGAGATCATTCATACCATAAACCACCACCGTTCACCTGTACACCTTCCAGGCACCATCCTGTGCCCTGCCTCATGGAGCTTCTATTATCCCAGGATGGGAGTAAAATGTATGACTACTACTTCATACAGTGGTTGGGTTGTATTCACGTAGGGATCTGAAAGAAGCAAGGGACTGTACTATGAAGATATATGGAGGAAGAGCATTTTGGCAAGAGGGAATGGAAAGTGCAAAGGCCTTGAGTCTAGAACGTGCTTGGTATTTCAAGAAATAGCAGGCAGACCAATGTGGCCATGCAGAATGGTCCAGCTCTAGAGCGATGGAAGGTGAAACCATAGAAGTAGTAGGCAGCTCTGGCTATTGCTTTGAGTGAGATGAAAAGCTATTTTTGAGCAGAATGATGACATGATCTGTTAAGTATTTTGAGGATTCCACTGGCTGGCATGTGAACAGGTGTCATGGGGAAGGGTGGAGGCAGGGAGTTTTTGCTGTTGCACAATCCAAGTAAGAATGGCTTAGACTAGAGTGGTGGCTGCATATTCTGAAGTTAGAGTGTTGAGCAGAGTATGTGCGCTGGTTATCGATCCCAGGGAAGAATTCCATGCACTTCTGCTCATTGCATCTTTGTACTGACATCACTGAGAAAAACAACACAGTCAAGTAATGGATGGAATAATGCTTTACTTACCTAAAAGAAGAGAGAGCAAGATCAGCTCCAACAGTGAGCATCAGCCTCTCATGGCAAGCAGGTCCACCTGGCAGCCGAAACAGGGCAGTTGGCTTAGTTACCCCCATCAGTGCTACGGAGGAGTGACCCAGCTCTTTCTCAAGGTGTCTGAAATATTGAAAAGTGGGACTATGCCTGACATACATGCTTAGAACAAAGGAACACTCACCATGCCTGAAACAGGGAGAGACTCCCATGCAAGGTGAGGAGTGCAGCATAGGCTGGGTGGCCTTTTTAATCTCTTGGTAAGGAAATGTTCCAGTCCCAAGGCCCATTCGGATGCAGCCACGTTGGGGTTGAGAGATGGTGCAGGGAATGCCTTTCCAACATCATCTGCAGGATTTGTTGTTTGAGGGTTGGGAGTAAGGGAAAAAGAGGAGGCAGGAATGCCTCTGCGGTTTTAGGATGGAGGAACTGAAGATCACGGAGGGGTGTGTGTGTGTGTGTGTTGGGGACGAATCAGGAGTTGGGTTTTATTCATGTAAAGTTTGAGGTGCCTATTAGAAATCCCACAGAGATGCAAAGTTGAGTTGAGGTGTCTGGAACTCATGGGAAAGCTCTATCTGCAGACAGAAATTTGGAAGCCCACAGTGTAAATGAGATTTAATGCCAATGAGACTGGATGAGGTCCTTAGATAGGAAAGCAAATAGATTTTTAGAAAGCTGAGTCCAGGGCCCTCCAAGGTTTAAAGGTCTGAGATACAAGCCAGGACCAGGAGGGAAAATGAAGAGGCAAGACTCAGTGACACACAAGGAGCATCTAGAGAGAGAAACATTCTGGGGGCAAACCATAAAAGGGTTTCAGAAAGGAGGGGCAAACTTTGTCAAATATTTCTGAGGTTAAGTAAGAAGAAGATAGAACTGACTATTGCATTTGGCAACCTGGAAGTTATTGATGACCTATAAGAACTATCTGGTGGCGTGATGGGAAAGTAAGCCTGAGAAGAGTGGATTAAAAATAGTGGGGGTGGGGAGAGTAGGCACAACTCTGTGAAGGGGAGCAGAGAAATGGGGTGGGAGCCGGAAGGCAGTGAAAGGTCAGAGGCTCTTTTGTTTTGTATCTGATGGGAATGACCAAGAGAGAGGGAGCATTCAGTGGCGCAGGGGAGGGAGTACTAGACTGATCATGCCTTTTGCATTGGAAAAAAATGAGGATATGGCTTCAAGCAGAGGGGCTGGCTTTGGAGAGCAGCCTTTCAGTTCCTTCCATGGTACCAGGAGGGAAGGCAGAGTGTATGAGCCAGATGCCCTGGGGCTGGTAGATGTGCTGGTGGGAGCCTGTGGAATTCTCTTCTGATGGCTTCTATGCTCTTAGCTGAGCTTGAGGAGTAGGTAGAAGGAGGAGTTATGAAATAGTTGTTTAGTCCTCTGATAGATTGCCTCAGAATTGCACTGGGTGAAAAAGTGGATGAATGAATGACCTGGAACATGTAGCAGGATCAAAAGTAGCTTTTGGGCTCAGCTGAGGTTGGTCTTCAAGCATTAGAGGTGAGCCAGTCTGTATGCAGGTGCATTTTTCACCCACTAAGTTCAGTTGCTTAGATGAAGGTTCAGAATAATTCGAGAGTGATGCTTAATGAGGGTTGTGTTTTTCCAGGACAGAGTTAGGGAGAGAGGAAGAAAGGATTTGGAGTCATGTGCTAGAGAGTAATGATAATAATACTTATTAAGTGTTAGCACGGTAAGAAGAAAAGTGAGGATATGAAGAAATTGAGGGACAGTGCAAAGGTGGTGATGACCGATGTATTTGTATCACAGAGGGGTCAATAATTTTGGAACTGGCAAAGTAAGATCTTAGAATTAAGATAATGGAGGAGTGGATAACCTGTGCTAAGAGGCCTAGACTATGGCCGTGCGAGGGGGTGGCCGAGTTAGAGGAGTTAGGATGGGAATAGAGGAGGTCATGGGATTGCGAATCCAGGACATTGAGGGGATTTTCTCTTTGGAAGGCGAAATAGCTGAGCATCAAAATTAAAGTAGTATTGGAGAGGGTGACAATGAGCCAGATGCTCAGATGTTGTAGGAAAGAGGGGAGTGAGCCAGGGGTTTGTAGATATTCAGTGTGCACTTGGCTTTCAAAACCAAGAGTGTTGGGAGAGAGTGATACGGTGATTAATAAAGAGCGAGGAGGGTCCCTACCCCACCTCCAGGTTTAAAGGAACAAGGGGTATGGGAATGAAAAAACAGCCACTTTTTGAAATGACAGTTGAGGAAGCTGTGTCTTTAAGAGATACTTTGAGTTTTTGATGGGCAGGTTCTGGACCCAAACAGATTTGGACCCCTCCTAGTGCTACTTCCCTCCTGTGGCCCATGTTGCCTCTTCTTGGACTTGTCTTCTCTGTGACCACAGACCATTCTGCAATGCAATTTATCAAATTATCACAGTAGTTTCATACACCTGCTTTGGGGTCCTTGATGCAAAGCCTGTATTCCTCTTTGGAAACTCTACGAATATAGGCTAACTGACTGTCCTCTCTGTGCCTCAGTTTCTTCATCAGAAAACGGGTGGTAATGGGCTTAATTATGTTATGAAGACTAATGGAATCTATATAAACACAGTGCTAGGAGTAGTGCCTAGAAAATAGTATGCATACATGTTCGTTTTTGCTATTAATATTATTATTTTTAAAATGAATATTCTGCTCTTGATGGATTCACTGTTCTGTTAATACAGAAAGGAGAAGGCAATATTTAGATGCAACCGAAGACATAGGGATTTTTCTGTTAATGGACCATGAGTTGCAGAGGACCCATGGGGGGGTTTGGGTAGTGAGGGGAGCGGGTGGATAGAGGATGAGGGGTGAGAGGCAGGGTGATGAGGGGTGAGTTTAGGGAGTCACAGGGCCTCTTCTGCAGAAGTGAGAAGAGATGAAGAGTAAGTTGGAATCAGTTCTATTGGTGTCTCAGGTAAAAAAGGAGGGGAGGCGGGGGCCCTGGGAATCCCTTCAGGCCTGCTGCTGTGAGGGCAAGGCTGTGTGAAGGCATATTGCTTGGACAGTGCAGAACTGAGGGGCTTCCTCTTCTCTCTGCCAGTAGACACATTGTTGTGCTCATGACTGTCTCCCTGGTGTCTAGCATAGTGCTTGCTACAGGAAGACCCCACACCATCCTCCCTGAAGAAATGAAAGATGTCTGTGGAGAGGAACACAGTTGTGAGTGGTCCCATCAGCCCAGCCTCTTCTCACAGCTCCCGCTGCTGTTTCGGAGTTCTGTTCCATCCCCTGGTCAGAGTCTGTCTGAACTGCATCTGGCGTCTTGGCACACCTCTGTACCTGTGACTGCCTTGCTGCCTTGCTTGTAAATAGTTACTTGTAGCTCACCTCACCCAGGCTTGAGATAAAAGGTGTCATATAATGTTCCCAAAGCCATTCCTCAGATTGCCTGAGCAGATGCTGTTGTAGCAGAATTTCCAAAGATGTTAGAAGTGAGGCCATAAGGAAGTGTTGAGCACTGCAGTTTTCCTGAGGGACAGAGAGTTCCTTTTTCCTTGGCTCAGGGCCCAATGTCATCGGACATGAAACCCTCCTGCTCTGGTCCCTCAGGGCTGCCAGTCCCCACCCACCGGGACTGTGTGCGCTTGGATCGTGGGCTATACTGCTCAGCTCTGTTGACCTCATGGAAGACCTGGGTCCTGGGGCAAGCACTGCAGGCTGTGATCCAGGGGTCATAGGCTGGATGGAAAATTACTCACAGGTATTTGCTGTTTGGCTCACACAGTGTTTCAGAAATCAGGACATTTCATGCGAAATTCCAGATTTATGGGTTTTTTGGGAGAATACAAAGACCCAGCAGATCCTAGATTCTGGGATCCTACTTGGCAACTGCTGGTGGCGTTGAGTCATGGTACCCCTCCATGAACAGAGCACGCGCTCTCCGAATCACTAGAGACCCCTTTGTGTCTGCTCATTTATATCATGGGTGTTGGCATTCATGACTTGAGCCACACAATCTAGGTAAAGGGGCATTTAAGGGCATGTGCCTAGGGTAACGTGATCTGTGAAAGATTAATGACTACATGGAATATTGATGTGCAGGCCACTGAAAAGCACCGGGACTCTGTCTGGCTGTTTGTGGGAGTAAACAACTTACATAATCTCTTTTAAAAAAAAGCAAAGACTGAACTAATTGACACATTCTGTTCTTCCTGGAAATTTTCAACTTGAATCAGAAGCATGGGAAACTATTGCTTAAACCCATGCCTTACACTTGAGAGTACTGTGGCTATCAAAGTAGAAAAATGCCTGATTGTTTCCAAGGATGCTGGAGAATTTCACAATTCCCTTTATTCTTCCTGCCGTAGCACTACCAGTTATCACCTGCTGGACTCTTCAAGGTATGTGCATGTTTTGTCACCCAAAGCTTTTGAAAACAGGTAGTGGAGTATTATGTATTTTCCAACGGCTGTGTGAAAAACTGAATAGTCTCATGACAGGTTATTTTTTTTAACCCAAAGAACAACTCAGCCCCTGTCTAGCTGTGATGTTAGGTGAGTTATTTAACCTCCCTGAAACCCAGCTTTCACCTCTATAAATCTGAGAGGGATGGTTTTGTTTCACAATGTTTTTGTGAGGATTAAATCAGACGCTGGAAGTGCCTTGCACAGAGCTTCCCACTGAGTCTTTCTGTTCAGGGCGTTCATAAGAAAAGACCCTGTGCAGACAAGGAACCATGGGGGAAGCCCACACAATGAACCCCCAAAATCCCAGACTCAGAACACTAGTCGCAGGGGTGAAGAGGCTGGGAGAGTTCTCTTCCTTGAAGAACCAGGTCGGTAACATTGCTGCTCAAAGCAATAACTTCCCCCAGGGAACAAGTGAATACAAATCTTTGGCTACAACTTTCTGACTCTGTTTATTATTTGCTTGGGACCATTTGCCCTTGAAGGCAAGCTCATCAGTTTGGATTTTCTAAAATAGTCTGGATCAAAGCTATTTCTTCCCCCTTGGTCATTAACTTTGTTGAGATGACCAATATTTAGAGGAGCATCTTCTAATTGGCAGGCACTGCATTAGGTTCTGGGGCCACAATGATGATCAAGACATGCGTCTGCACTTATATAGCTGACAGTCTAGTGGAGAAGATGGATAAGAAAACAGATGATTAAATACAGTGCAATAAGCACTGCAACGAGGGTAGGCTCAGGATGCCATGGGTGTTCACTGGAAAGGCAACAATACCACTTTGGGAAAATGCAGGAAGGCTTTCTGGAAGACATTAGCTCAAGTCAAGACATGAAGGCTAAGTAGGGGTTGCCAGGCTGATAAGGAGGGAGAGAATAATTCAGGCAGAGAGGTAGCTTGTGCAAATGCCCAGGGGCAAGATAGTATGGCAGGCTTAGAGCCTTCAGGGGTCAAGACTAGAATGCTGCTGGGAAGTCTCAGCGGGGCTCATTAGGGAAACAAGGTCGCATCATGAAGGTTCTTCCTTGTCATACTAAGGAGTTTGAACTCACTGGCTCTGTTGATCACTGCCTGTCCTTGCTGGCCTCGTCTGGGATTTCTGAGACCTCCTATTTGCCGTTGATCCATAAAGCCACTCTGTTATCTCCACAAGTAGTTCCAGACATCCCGACGTTTTTGGGCCCGGCCTCTGTCTCTGAGACAACTTTGCACACCCAGAGTGGCACACACAGCTCCCCTTTTGAGATGCATGGTCACCGCATCTGTTACCTGGTCAGGAACGGCTGTGCTCTTGATCCAGAAAGGAGATGGCCCGGGCACATACACTTCACCCTTTTAGAGCCTGTCCCTTTTCTGTGTTTCACGGTTAGAATAATGTGGCCAAATTTTGGTTTGGACCAACTAGGATTTATACAAACAGCATAAAACTGGCCTGTGTCACTGAGCCTCCTGCTGTGGCTGCCATGGACCTTCCTGTCCTCATGTCTTTGAGCTTTCCAGAGTTTAAAATCTGGCAAGTGCCATTTCACAGACTTCCAATCGAGGCTTGCAAAATATAGGGTAATATTCTTTATTTCCCATCACTGAATTTGAATTCTGTCTCTAGCTCTGTGCCCCTGATAGTAGAAACAATCTTTGTAATTTCAGAACAAACTCAAGCAGTTCAAGGTTTTCACAGGCAGATCCCCAGCCCTTCCATCCTTCTTCCTCCACGACTGCACCCAGCTCCCAGGAACCTGAGTGCGGCCCAGGCTTTGGGAGTGGTACCTGGTTCTTGACTGTCACATCTTCCCTTCTGCTTCTAGCACCATGGCCTCTCTCTTACTGGCCCTGTCTGTCACTGCTCATCCTTGCTGGTCCTCTGGGGTGCCTCAGCCCTCACGTACCTGGTGGTTTGTCCACAAAGGCCATTTTGTTATCCATACAGCTGATGAGGAGATGCTAGCATCTACCAGCCGTAAAGATTCAATAGGAGGCATTTGGCCTCTTCCCTAACCCCATGGGGCCTGAGAGATCAGGCCCATTTCCCTAGACCCTGGACTCAATTTATCTATCGCTGTGTCTCCACGATGGCAGCAGAGCCATGGTTCTTTCTGCTCTTGGCCTTATGGTTCTGAGCTCCAAGGGACAGGTCACAGAGCCCTCTCTCAAGACTGTTCATCATTTCCTCCTCTTTTCCATTAGGAAATGTTAGCCTAATATGAGTGGTTGCAAAAACTGGCTCTAACTGATCATGGATTCTTTTTGCCTACTTTTCTGGAAATAAACTTTATGCTCTGGGTCCCTATGGGCTCTGCTTTGGAAGTCCAACACCCCTTTCTCTCAAACTATTGCTTCTACCATGGGTTCAAATGTTCATTTTGAAACATCAAAGCTGAGCATGGCTTTCTCTATTTTTTCCTTCTTTACTGCTCTAACAACCTTCTCTGAGGGCAGCTGGAACAGAACAGTCTCACTGTCAGGGTAGAATAGGTTAGAACACAGGAACAAGGGAGTCACTGGGCAAAATCTCATGTACTGCTTCCATAGTTGAGTGTTCTTTTAGGAAAGAGTCACCCATAGTACTAACAAACAGGAAGCACTGGTAGATCTTAGCAGCAGGATGAGGATGAGCTGTATCTATGGTCATGTGACTATATGTCCATAGAGCAGAATTCACACTGTCCTTGGTCTAGAATACTAGATGTAAAGGGCCCATTTCTTCCCTGCTCAAAGGGTATTTCAGAATGCAAGTCAGTGATGGAAATTCTATGCTAAGAGGAATATCCACTCTTTATCTATCTATCTATCTATCTATCTATCTATCTATCTATCTATCTATCTATCTATCATCTATCTATCTATCCCATCATCATCTATCTATCTCTACCTCTATCATCTCCGTATCTATTTCAACTCTTTGCAAGCTTGTGCACCCAGGAGAAAGTGATAGCTGCTGCTTATTGTGCCTCTGGGTGCAAAAGGAGGGGATTCTCAGCTCTGCCCAGTGAGCTCACCGACTGTGAAGTCAGACCAAAGCACGGCAGCAGAGTCCTGGTTGCTTCCTCAGCCTGGTGTTTGGATCTGGGAGGGTTCATGAACCCAGCACACAATGTGGACAGGAAATCTACTGGTCCTTATTGCACTGTGTTTATAGAGTCCTAATGGGTATCAAGGGCTTCTTCTGAGCTCTTCCAAAGTTGGGTTATTAGAGTTGTCTCTGTGTGTTTGCTTGCTTCTTTAACGTTAATCGAGAGTTGCGCCTCAGTATGATAGTATGAAAGTCCTAGGATTGGCCTCAGAGACTGAGATCATTATGACCCCAAACTCTACAGATGGCACTCTAGCTTTAAATGAAATGTTTGCCTTTAAGTAGCTGGGTGATCCCTGGTTTCTGGAGGCCTCTGTGGTGTTCCTGGTCAGAGTGTGTCTCAGGCATCACAAATCTGGTTTATTCAGGTCTCTGGCACTGGTGTGCTCTAAAGGGTTAATTCTTTAAGGGATAATCTTTAAAGAGGCTTGGAGTACTCAAATACTGAACACTCCATAGAAAGGACTGGCCCTTGACCAGGGAGACCCTCTCAGCCTTGGAGTTTTCTGCCTAGTAAGAGTGTCTTTGCATACTTGGGAAATTGGGCCACCCCAGATAGTTTATGACCACAATGTGATTTATGGTGAATGCCTGCTTTTGTTTGCCTGAGGTCATGGGTCACACTGTGTCTGTTTGACCACTGGAGGGGCTGGAGACTAAGAAGTTAAGGTCAGTCATGTGGGGGCTCTATACCTACATGACTGACCTCCAATAAAAACCCTGGATGCAAAGGCCCAGGTAAGCTCCCCTGGCTGGCAATACATCAGATGTGTTCTCCCACATCATTCCTGGGCATATCACGTCTTCCTGTGCTACCCCACTGAGAGGACATCTGAATGCTCACTGCTGGTTTCTCCTAGACTCTGCGCATTTTCCTTTGAGAATATGAATCAGTATCCTTCCATTGTCATAAACCAGAACCAGGAGTATAATAGCTTAGCTTTGTGCATCCTTCCAGTAAATCACTAAACCTGAGGGTGGTCTTGGGGCTTCCTGACCAAAGTGGAAATACCGCAAAGGGAGAGATGTCACTCTTGCCAAGTTCCAGCATTTCCATGGCACTTACACACTTTTTTTCTACTTGGCTTTGGGCTGGTTCTTCTTCACATAAACTCTTCTGCGCAGTTAAATTTCCTTGCAATCTCTAAGGTCCCTGGCTCCTGGCTGTCTGGTACAACTCCAGCATCCTTGCTGTGAAACATGCAAATCTCCAGCCACAGATTGTTCTGACTTCCTCAGCATCCACACTTGACTTCCATTCACTTCAGCAATCCATTCCCACTGCCACCTCCCTTCCCTCATTCATCACTTGGCGTGGCTTAACCTGCAAAATCGTGTACTCAGACGTCAAGTCCTACAACATCATTGGGCCAGACGTTTAAGAGCACAGGCCTTGGAGTCTGAGAACTACAGAGTGATTTAACTTCTCTGAACTGAAGTTCCTTTTCTGTAAAGTGAGCAAGGATGAGATTAAACCACACACATAAAGCTATTAGCATACATGCCACAGTTTACCATAAGAGCTGCTATTATCACACTTGTATTGGTTAATTTTATGTGATAACTTGACTAGGCCATGAGATGCCTAGATCTCCGGTTGAGCATCATTTCTGTCTGCAAGGGTGTTTCTAGAAGAGACTGGCATTTGAATCAGTGGCCTTCCACAGTGTGTGTGGACATACCCAACAAAAAGACAGAGGAACATTGAATTTTCTTTCTTTGCCTGACTAATTAAGCTGAGGCATTGGTCTTTTCCTGCCCCTGGACCGGGTCTCACAACTTTGGGTCTCCTGGTCCTCAGGTTCTCGGACTTGGACTGGAACGATGGCGCTGGTTTTCCTAGGTCTCCAGCTCCAAGCTGGC